TGATTCATTGTATAGTCTAATTTTATGAATTTCGTATTGAAAAAAATAAAAATATAATATATACATACTTACATTCATGTAAATATTGAACTTGTTCATTAGTTAGTCTTTTTTCTAGATTTGTAATCTCTAAATAAACTCAGAATCTAACTATTATTATCATCAGAAAATTTTATAACAGAATATAAATCAATTACAAATCTACTAAATACTCTATAGAATCCAGATTTTATGTTGATTGTTATCATCACTTCTTTTGTGGAGGGTGTGGGTGTGGGGTGTGAGCGCTGGGTGTGAGTGTGGATGCGGGTGTGGATATATGTGATTAAAGACAAAAGGAACACCCATACCCACACTCACACCCTAGAGACAAGCTCTCAAACAAAAAAAAGTATATATATAATGAAAGTCCATAGGAAATTTTTGGAAATTAGATGAGCTATTTTTTGATCCTTGTTTGATTCATATCTCTGTCCAACGTCAGGATATCGAGCTGAAAATTTTACCATAGTCTCCTCATTTTCGTCTATTTGGACGTTTCTGGGCTGAGATCGGTTTTTGAGGGTGGAGAGAGGGTGGCCTTAATAAAAAATATCAAGTAAGACAAAGATGAAAGAAGATAAAAATCGGATTTGTCTCGTGTCAAAGACACGTTGTTTTCGCAGCGTCAAAATTTGATTGCTCAGAATTTTGTTGATTTTTTAACACAGAAAATGCAATTGTAAGCTTAATTGTCCTATGGAAATCGTAAACGAAATTATTGACTACACCAAAGTATAAGACTTAAAAGTCTGAAACTTTGGATATAATCCTAAATACGTCTAAGCATTATAACAAAATACTTGAATTCAAACTGCGACTTTTCTAAGAGCCGGACGAAAAAACTTTTGTAGTGCCCCACATATCATCCATTTCATTATAGTTACACTCATTTTTCATAGTTTATTTTGAGAAACTATGTTATTTTTAGGCAGTAATATATTATTCTAGGTCAAAAAGAAGACAACACAAAAAACAGAATATATACAGAAATGTCTATATACAAAAAAAAAAGTCAATCAACAACAAATCATGAATAATAAAAACGATCAATTCGTTTTAATACGTTTAATATCATTCGTCATTTGTTCACATGTCTTTCTCTTCTTCTTCTTCTTCTTACCGAGCCATATTGATAAAGTGTAAAGGTCTGTACTATATGTTGCATCTCTTCTTATCGAGAGCCATTTAATAATTTTGTTTGGCCAATGTTGTTTTCGACTTATGAATCGAAATGTCACGCTTAATAAATGATCAAGTCGATTGAGTATGATTTTCATATCATCCATAATTGAGATATCAATTTCCAAATATTTGATATGATTTGGAATTAAAGAACAGAAATTTTCCATATTACTACCACAAGTTTTATCAAGCCATTTATCTTTGAAAACGAGTGAACGAACATTATATGCTTGTTGAAGTAGAGTAACGAAATGTATTGGCGTATTCGGATAAAAATCTTCAGCTAATTCATCAACTAATGTGAGTTTTTCAAGATGTGATAGATCGATAAATGACGAAAGATGTTGAACGAAATCAACTGGCCATGGATTATCAATTCGAATATTGAGATTCGATGCTTTTCGAAATCGACATGTTTGTAGTCGAACCTATTTATTAAAAATAAATTTTGTTAATAACACTAACGAGTAGTGTTCCCGCAGGGGACTACGACTTTTTGCTTATAAATACAGTAAAAATGCAATATCTCGGCAGTCATAAGCTAGCAGCACGAACTTTTTTCGGAGTAGTCATAGATCATTAGGGCGTACATGATGCAAATACGCTCGACTCAAAAGCAATGTGACAGTTGGGAATGTTCTCTCGTAAGTTAGATCTGTCATACCATCCAAGCAGTTCTTTTGAAAAAAAAACATACGATTTCCTCAAGATAAGCATTTTTTATTTTCAATGAAATATCGATTATCTACTACAATAGCTTTCATGAAATTTTTGTGTTTCTTACTTCGTTTGTTGTTGTCGTGGCCATCATTATATCTGTGTTTACATACACAGTATGCACATAATCCATTACTGATATATCATTATTAATATCCGTTGAAGTTGAAGAAGTAGTTTTGATCGATTGAGAATAGTAATGAAAGTAACGATTACGAACAGGTATTGAATAGAGATGAATATCATACTTTGGTCTTGTAATATTATTATTATTATTATCATCGTCGCGAATAAATTGATCACAAGTAACAAACCAACTTTTGATTTTTATCCAGAATGGTGTTCGAAATGGAGCAATAAGTGTGTCGGTATTAATAGAGCTATCATCTTCATATATATTCATGTAAAAGGAAAATTCAAATTGATTTAACAAAGGTAAATTTGTTTGTATCAGTTGTTCCCATGGAAAATCAATTTCATTTATGCTACCAATCAATCGAAGATGTGTCAATGATGATATATTAGAAAGAAATGATATGACTTTGCTCATGTTGAAGTTAAATTCTTCCATTATTAATGAAGTTAATTGATGCATTGGTACAGGATCAAAAGGTATTTCAAAACCAATAGGTTCATAATCGATCATGTCACAATATTTAATGAATAATGTTCGTAAAGAAGAAAAATGACGAAAAATAATCGGAAAATGTGATAAATCACAATGATATAGAGTCAAATGTTGTATTGTTGATGAAATTGGCCATTTTATTTGATCACTACCATCTTTTTTCAAACTCAAAGTCAAATTTTGAAGACCAGGTCGTTCTATGATTCTAGAGAGAAGAGTATCGATTGTAGTCGAACGATGAGAATTATCTTTCTCTTGAATTGATAGTAAGACAAGTGGAAAATTGATAGCATGTTCCAATATAATATTCAAATGGTCATTTTCAATACAAAAAAGTATTAATGAACGAAGTTGAGTAAATCGTTCAATAGAAAATAATGAGAGAAATAAGGAAATTTGACCTGGTGTAGTTGGTTGATCAGAAAGTGTAAGTGAAATCATATTTTCTGGTTGAATAAATCGGCAAATTCGAATAAAATCAACTTTCGACATATTATCAAAATTTAGTTGATACCGAGCATTATGAAAATAAGCATTTATTATAGTATTCAATTGTTTACATACATTATAAAGTGAAAGAATAATAGTTTTTACATTGAGTTTATCAAATATATGATAAATAACTTCAATAGGTAATATGTTCAAAGACAGAATAAATCTTTTAGACATCTATAATCAGAAAAAAAATATTTTGAAAAGTTATTTGAAGAAAGGAGAAAGTGAATGGACATTAACTAATCTTGAGAAAGTCGTGAGAAAAGACTCATTTGATCACAAACTGGAGGACTATCATTTCCACTAGTGATGTTTATTGGACATTTTATATTGATAGAAAAATAATTAATTTACTGTACATATATAACACAAGCTTATATAGGAAAGAGAAAGAGAGATGAGCAACACAGGAGAGAATGGAAACGAAAGATAACATCAGGAGAACACTATTATTATCGACACACTTTCTCTTCATTCAATTTCTGAGCATTTGTTCGTAACAGAGAAAAGAAAAAATTAGTTTCTCAATGTTTCATTTCAATAAGAAGCAAAAAACAAACACATAGAACTTTCTTATAAACGAGCAAAATAAGAGCT